TATATTTATAATATTTGAAAACAATAATTTATGTATGTGTCGATATAATATTACATTTCCAATGTCGACTCGCGTGTCAATTATCATAGACTACTACGATAGCTCTCTCCGTATCTGATGAGAAGAGCGCGTGCCTTTCTTCATGAATTCCCATTGTACTGAGAAGCGCGACACGCACTTTGACGTCGGTAATTAACGATCTTAATTGCTCTCGGTAATTTGCACCGCGATTTCGCCAGAGCGATACACGACGGAGACACCTCTCGTTTCCGACAACGAGTTACGTTAGTCGAGAAAGTCAAACATGCGTGAAACTACGGGCTAATTAGCGTGCAGAGGCTCGAGGCGTTGCCAAACTCAAGGCTGTTGGGATGTTTAAATTTATCGAGGTACCGATATTTTCACTCATTCGGTATTGACGATCAAGCGTCAATATATCAAATTTTACAATGTCGATGTAACATATATTAAACAAAAAAAGAGCAACAAGATAAAGGAAGAATATAAAATAAAAAGTTATAAAAAGATAGCGAAAGCATCATATAAACTAAAATTACAAATTACAATATTCAATTATTTAAATACATTTTGCATAAAAAATATATAAAAATTAATAGCAATATAAAAAAAATTGTAGTCTCAAAACGCTCTTTAAAATTACATCTCATAAAATTCACGATGTATTGACTTTTCAACTATCTCTTCAATCCTCACGTAGAAAGATTTATTTACGATGGCGGCCATATGGAACGTACATTGAAGATAAGATCGTCTATGCAGCTCGGGAGACAAATTGCCTTTCCAAGAAAAGGCCACATAACGAATGTGATTGCTCGACAAACGTGCTTTAGAAGAAAGTGTAAGTATTGAAGGCATGAAAAAGAATGAACGTCAAGAGGGGAAGATGATGGGCTGGAGAAAAGTCGAAACGCAGCGGCACGATGCAACGCTCTCTCCGTGATCCTTTAAATCTTCCATCCTTTTAGCTCGAGGTCCTCCTGATTCCTCATTAAGCAAAACGACGTGGTCGACATGGAAAACATGTTACGTAAATTGCTGGTACATTTCAAAGAAATACACGACGTGAAAACGAATTTAGTCTTTTAGAACGTTTATCTAACTGCTCTTCCGTAATTTTAATGTGAGAAGAATAATAAGGATTCTTTTACATTTAAATAGTTGTACCTCTATAACAGATACATTTTGAACGAAATAATTTTAATTAGTTTAAGTTCTAAGAACTAGTTCTCGTTACACTGTTACTATAGTACACATCATTAAACTGTCATTTACTAATTACAGCTTATTCATCTCATTGATCAAATGTTTCCTTTGATAGTAAGAAATTAATGCTTGTTATTAAAATATAAATATTAAGAAGAAACAACGATCTAATAATACGTTGTTTTATAACAATAAATAAATTTGATGTGTTAAATAATTACAATAAACATTAAAAATTACCCGAAATAGTTTAGATTTCTATAAAATCTTCTTCAGTTGCATATGATATAAACAGTCACATATATATATCACCATATTCGACTGAAAGAAGTCTTTGATAAAATTGAAACTGATTTCGCGCAATTTTTAATGCATTTGACACATTTTTATTTATTATTATATAACAACAGTGTTATTATCTCGTCTTTGGTCGTTTCTTTTTAATATTTATGTTTCTTTTTATCATTTTTATCATATTGTTTCTTTTTATCATTTTTATCTCTTTTTCTTAATATATAACTTTTTCAGACGATATAACAATATACAATAATGTTACATTTCTAATAAACCTTATAAAATCGAGGCATGTGGGATGAGAAATCGAACCTAGGATCGTCGATTACAAATCAATGTGGTCGTACACTGAGCTATTTGTTACTCTAATGTACAATAATATTAATTCTCTTATATTTTAAACGCTATTATTTTCATTTATTTGAATTTTATATTTGTACATATATATAAATATTCATTTTGTTAAAATTTCTACAATTTTTAATCTCTAAAAGATTGGTTCTAAATATATTTTTTATCTTTATATTTATTATATAACTTTTTTGATATTCTTATCTAATCTTACTTTTAATTAGAAAGAGAGAGAAAGAGCTGAGTAACACTGTTTTCGATAACAGCGATTTATTGCTCATCAAACCTAACAAACTAAAAGCTCTTAAACATAGCGGCACAGCTATTATGGTCTACGGGGAAATTTTCCGTGGAGAGAACGGCCGTTAGCAAAAACTTACTATAACCAACTCGGATGGGAAAACTTGAATTAATTTGCCACCGCTAAAGCGCAGGAAGCGAGGCACGAGAGAGACTCCGAGTGGCGGAAAATTTTCGCGGTCTACCGAGTCCGAAGCCCTTAATGGATCCTTAACGAGTTGAACAATCGTTAGAGGGTTTAAACAATCGTCCGGTTGACTTTTTAAAAACAGCCGATTCCTACGGCGAGTCCGGCATATCGAGTTGCCAGCGGCGACAGAGGCGAACTTTCCTCTCTCCGGCAAACTTAAACCGAAACTAAATGTCCGCGAAGTGTATAACCGCGAAGAAGCGTACTCTCCACGAAGACATCCCGGCTCGTTATCTCTGCCTTGGCCCCAGAAGATTTACAAACGCGCTATTATCTCGGTCGATTTTCCGGTGTTTGCGTCGAAAATGCAACGTCTCAGTGTTTTCAAGAGAATATAAAAAATATATTTAACTCTTTTCTCAAAAATACGCAAGTTTTATATTTTTTCAATTATAACATAATAAAAATATCTCATTACCTTTCTATTAATTCTACAAATTTAATGAGTAAATATGTTTTAAAAATATGTATTTGCTATATTAACATAATATGTCGTTGTTTTAAATATTTATAAGTAAAACCGCCAATAAAATATGATTTATACTTTTAATATAATATAATATTGTCATTTAATATTATATTATTATTGTTATATTGTCATTATTATTCACGTTTGTCATACGTATTAATTTGTGAATAGAGATCACTTATTGAACTTATTGATTATCAGTATCACTAATTACCCGTTGCGTTTCTTTAAAGTATCGATTTGCCAAAAGATGAAAGAAAATCATACGTCAAACGTGTGCTAAATATAAAATTGATATGTCACTTTATAGATACATCATGTTTATAAGTTCATCATGTTATACATTTTCGTAACTTGTTCAAATTTAGTAATATTATGCGTATTATGTATAGATACACAATAGCTGCAGAGTAAGTTAGAAAAATTATAGCTAGATAAACAAATAATTAATTGAATAAATAAACGAATATGTACAAATTGAAAAGTATAACCTCGATTCTAGCTAAATTGCCTAAGCTCAACGACTATTATGAGCATCGCACGGACATAAATTCTGCCCAACTATGGACACATGTTGCAAAGCTAAGATCATTCGTTCCGTCAGCTAACGAGGTACGATCCATAAAGTAACGAGGTGATATATCGCCCGACTCGTGGAAATGATCACGTATCAGGTGATCGCTTACAGGGAAAATCAGGTCGGACGTAAAAAAAAAAGATCGCAGAAGAACGAACGTGGGTCCATCGAAGCTAATGAGAAGTAAGAGGCCACCCGGTAGCGCATCAGCGATAGTACCGTCTGATTTTTATTAGTCCCGTTTAATGAATTCCGTTGCACGGTGGGATTAAGCGGCGTTATGACGCCGCGTCAAATGAGAGACAGGACTAACTAAAGATAGTCTCTGAATTTATTCTTCATCGCGTAGCAGTCATCAATCTTCTCTCTAACGGAATTACCTGGCTGGCTTCGTGTAATATACGTTTCCCGTAAACAAAAAACTCACTCGATTGAGACAACGAAATGTTTCAAGTCCTAATTGCCGGAAAATTAAATTTTCAACTGTGCCAGTAATTTGACGTAAACGGCATAATGTAATATATGATACATATAAAATATTCATCATTCTAAAATGTATTAATAACATATGATTGACAATTAGCATTAATACTGCATTATATATAACATTATAATGTTATGAGGCTAAAAAATAAATAAATGGAATAGTAAATATTTAATTTGACACAAAATCAATGAAATAATGTCAAACGTAATTATCAATCATAATTCCAGTTAATACTTCTGCTTAAAATAAATTCTATTCGATCAGCTACATTAGAAAAATCACAAATAGAAAATATAAAAAGAAAATAATTTTTTTATAATAACTACTAATACATTCATAAATATCTCTTGTATATAAATCAATTAAAGTTCACAGTAAAATTCGAAAATATCAAATTAGTAAAATGGATTTTTCCTACTCTCAGAATCAGTAAAATTATCATTGATTTTCGGTGTATGTCATTATCCAATTACTTACTTAAAACTGTGATAAACAGTGACTATTTCAATGTTGTTTCATGATAATTGAATGAACTGATTCGAAAAGTGAATATCAATGATAGAGAGTGATTTCAGTTCTCAAAACTGTTTGATAATGAAACTTCCTGCCGATATTCACTGTTGAATCAGTATATTATCACTAAAACAACATTCAAATAGCCACTGTTTACCAGTTTATCTAAGTATACCACCGGAAAATCATTTACACTGAAAATCAGTGATAATTCCACAAATTCATTTTTAGAGAGCATTGATATCTGTTACCCAATAGTAGATAGATGAATAGGTCAATGGTATAGTAAACAGTAAACACGCGACGCGATCTTGGCAAGTTGCCAGTATAACTTGCTTAACCCTTAAGTGCACAGCGTCACATTTGTTATTGTCCGTTTAAGAAAACAATACTATGAGGTACATTAACAAAGTTTCGTATATAAAATTGCATTTCTAATACACTGTCGTTTTAATGATATTAGAAATTCGAAATTATTGCCATTAATATATTTACAAATATATCTTTAATTTCATATACAAAAATTATGTAGTTATGTAATTATATAAATAACTAAAAAGATTTATATTCTTAGTTATTGTTAGTTATCTGTGCCTACGTTTTCCAATTGTTTTTATTGCTTATTAATCTTTTCCTAAAGCACGCTATCAATTACATTTATAATCATCATATAATTTTTAGATAAAAAGTTGAAACATTTGTTAAGAATTAAATGGGTAAAAGCTTGTTTAGTAAATAAGTAAAGAGCCAGAGAAATAAACGTGAATAAACGAGATTGTGCCATAAAGCCAATGAGAAATAGAAGCAAGAGTCCTTCCGATGGCGTCATCCAAGCCGATTTTTATCGGTCCCGACTCGAGGCCTAAGAAGAGAGAGAAATGTATAGGAAGGAATGCGTGAGAGACATAAAGAGAGAGAGAGAGAGAGAGAGAGAGAGACAAGGAGAAAACGGGGATGCTCCGAGATCTGCGAACTGAGAGAGAGAAGAGATATCTCGAAGACTCGTCGTGGTGCTCGGCAAAAGCCATTTACTGGTGACAGAGACAAATAGAACCGGGTACGTTCCAGGAGGAGGGTCCGCGCGAGGAAGAGAGGCTCTACGTGTGTTGTCTAGTTAGACGAAGCAGAAGGAAGTGAAGGACGGGATGAGAGAAACCCCATGCGCAGGATGCACTACGGGAATGAATTCCGTCATGACGTGTCCCTTTATGGCAGGACTGTGACTCGACCTGCGAGTGCCCTATGCGCCCTTTTAATAATTTCGTGACAATTAACGAACAGGCACGCCCTTTAGTATCAAACTAAGTAGTAAATGAAAGAGAAGATGGGAAAAAGAGAGATAGAGAAAGAGAGAGAGAGAGAGAAAAAAAGAAAAAGAAAAAAGACACTTTTTTACAAAAGTTACGACAAAAAGCGATTGTTTGCTTAAATGTCCATTTGCAAATATTTATAATTATTGCATAAATGTTTTGTTAGTTTTTATTATTCTACGTACACGATATAACAAATAAATTAAAAAAATTGGTTCAAAAGTGAATAATTTTAGTAAAAGACAATTTTGTAATTGATAGTTTTAACATTTAAATTCTTTTTTATTGCTGAAGGAAACAAAAATAAATTCTCTGTGAAAGACAAAGCAAATCATGCAAAATATCAATACGTTTTATTTTTCGATGATACTTACAAATATTAATATAATGATGAAAACTTTTTACAATTTAAAAAAAGGCAATTAGACAGATGAACGAACAACAGATAAAAATCTACAAAATTACGAGTTGGTGAGCCGTTTGATTCCAGCATGGAAGTGGAGATAACTTGCTAATTTGCAATATGAAAGAATTAACGCACGGTGCGTGTGTGTGTACAAATATGTTTGTGTGTGTATGTGGATTAATATCAGGGGCGATTAATAACGGGGCGGGTTTATAAACTTCGATTACTACGCGCGCACGTGCTTGTGACCGCTCGTTGCGTATTATATGATCGTGCATATAAACCGCCTATCGCAGGTCAAAGTGGATAACGATGTTCGCTTACTGTCGAAAGTCTCGATCGTTACTCGACCAATGCATATGCGCTGGGAATAACACAGAGTGATTCAAAAAAGGAATCGTGAAGTTCTAGTTATTAAATGACTTACTTGATCGTAGATTTTAATATTGGTAAGAAGAATAGTAGGGGAGACCGGGGACAAAAGCAACATTTTGAATTTAAAGTCTTATAACAGTTAAATTATAATATTTACATTTAAAAAACCTATATCTTTAGATGTAGAATTTATTTAAGTACAAAATTTTCTTGTGTTCAATCTTGTAATGTAACTAGGAAAGAAGTTATTACTGTTTAAACACTATGAGGAATACTGTTACAACTGTCCCAGAGACGATTGTAACAATAGAGGAAGACGATTGTACTATATTATTTATAGATAAATACTTAACTATTTATTAAGTTTTATGCAATACAATTATTTACAATCATATATGTTTAATGCTATATGGATAATATGTAATATATATTTAATAAAATTAACTATAATAAAATAAAAAAAACAAAATCTACATAAAAACAGAAAAAAGCTCTCTTTTTTTCTAATAAGTTCAAATAACGTTGTGAAAAACAACACTCAAATAAAACCGAGCAAATCCGGGGACAATTGTAATGCTTCAACCATCCCCAGGCACATCGATGTTACAATTGTCCCCTAATGATATTTTATAATTCAAAGTAAAGTTTCAAAATAAATATATAGATAAAAATTAATTAAAATATGCAAATCATCAACATAGATGATCACTAAAACCTTTTTAGATAATACGTTATACCTTCACCATAAAAAAAACAAAAATATTTTAGATTTTGTACACATAATAAAACTTACTTGAGGAACGAAAAAAGTATTTTTTGCTCTTGCACACGCGCACGTTTCGTGCGGATCGACAAGAAACTAACAAACCACAATGTCGGTCTGTTTAATAATTTTTGCCTCACAGCCACATACATATATCTAGTATAGTTTTAAAAATATTTACGATGTTACAACTGTACCCTGTTACTTTTGTCCCCGGTCTCCCCTAGGTATTTATTCAGATACTACTAAACAATACTTATTTGCCATCCTTCCTACATCCTCAATATATCTTTTGTTTAATCAAAAAGTTCAAAAAATGATAGCTTATGTTCCATCTTTGATTTTAAATCAATTTTGTTAGAGTATTATATATTTCTTTAAAAATAACTGTAAATTATAAGTCATTTTTCTGTATTAAAGGTTGATTCAAAATCATATTCCTATACATAACTAATGTAGAATTGTTATTTATTTTTCAATAAGTATGAGTCATTCTAAAATTTATCGAAGAATTAATTAACAAGAAAAATAGTTTTGGAACAGACTCTACTCAGCACGAAAGCCCGTAAAGTTCCGTGGAAACGATTTCGAGCTCTAAATGTAGTTAACGGCCGGCCAAAGCTGTTCTCGGCCCCTGTCGAAACGCCCTGCGCAGTGCATCCCTAGCGAATTCGGGACCACCTTGCACGCTCCGAATGTAATTGCAGCTCATAATCCGTAGGGCTAACATGCGCAGTTCCGAAGCGCAATATTAATATTCGGTAGACATCAAAACGTTATTTACAGTCGCGCGTCACCAATAACGATCCGCACTGTTGTGAACGAATGGCTGCCAAATTGCAGAATTTGTAGTCCCATTGGAAACTGCATTAGCTGAGATGCACTGGCATATGGCAAAAGGGACAAAGTTTACTCTTCGAGCACCAACGGGACGCGACATTTCACGAGATAGGTAAACGTTGGCATTCGCTCGATACGTTTGCTATAGTTGTTAGATTTTTTGTACAAAAAGAAAACTTTACTCAGAGAAAAGATATAATATTTTAAACAGAATAATATTAATATATAAATAGAAAGTTTTCTCTTGAGACATAATTTTGTGATTATTTTAATATAGAGTATTTATAATCTGTGCGTATGATTAAAAATATTATAATAAATAAGATTTATAAAACAGTGACAATTTAATAAATACATATTTATATAAACAGTTTTTGCAACATATTGGAACAATTATAGTCATAATATATAAAAAATAAAGACAATAAAAGTGTTACTTTTTATAAAAATTTATAGATGCAATAAATAATAAGATAACTAGTTTTTCTAATATATGTTACTATTATTGTGGAAAAATTATTTTCAAGTTATTTTATTTACTTCACAAACTTTTCTTATTTACGACAGCATCAGAATTCAATTCTCGAATTCAGGTCATATCTTGATGTGTATCGCTTGATACAAAACAGTGGCTGCGTTTCAACGAAACCGCGGCCAGCTGTTCCCATATTACAAAATGGGGTGAAAACTCTGTTCAGAAATTCGAATACGGGAGCGAGGCCGAACACGAGGATTACAACTTACAACTTACGACATATAGTTTGAAAGAAAAGAACAAGCGCGCATGGATGAATGTTAGAAGGGACGTTTCGCGAGAATATATATATATATACTAGTGACGCCATCGACGGGGACAGTAGGAGGGATGATATGTCGACGGTCGCAGGGAGGTTGGGATGAAATAGAAGAGGGATGCTGCTTGTACAGAGCTGCCTGTTAAGTTTCCCGAGTATTATAGCGTACGCTGAAGCCCCCCGAGGGACGCCGGGGTTTTGGAGTTGGTTGTCCGGGAGGATCGACCCAGGGGTATGCTCACCACCATTCTGGCCTAAACCGACTTGGGAAGCGGGTAGAGAATGAGAAGTGGGGAACTCTCCGTTGCCACACTGCCTATGTCCTATATGCGATAAATTGCCAAAAATACACGTAAAGAGAAAAAAGGAAGGAGAAAGAGGAAAAAAGAGAGGGGGGGAGGGGGCAGAGAGAAAAGGAGCAGGAAGAAAAAGACAAGGAGGAAAGGGAAGAGAGAAAAAATACCAAAAGTACATTGTGCAAGATAATTAATTATATATCTAGTTTTATAAAAGTTACTGAAATGTAAATATAATACTCTTTTATTGTGTCTTCTAAAAATAAATAATTTTAAAAATAATTTTTAGGTCATATCTGTTCTTGAAAAAAATTATTTTCAGACATAATGCAAAAGAAATCTAATTTACATTATATATTTTTAAAAAGCGAGTATAAATTGACAATTATTTTAGAACAAAACTCTCATAAAACTAGATTTACAATGTATATAACATACGCAAAATCTTGTATTTGCTTAAAATAAAAAACAATACGATAAAATAATAAATAATATTCCAACTTTATATCCAAAGGGATATATTCAAACAAAGATTCGACTATAGAAAAATTGACTTACAATTAGAGATATTGTACAGTATTAAATGACAATAAATATCCAAGAGATATACATTATCGCTTACAACAAGCTTACGAAAACCGGTCATTTAATGGAGCTAGCACTTCAGGTTTCAGGGAACTTCCATCATATTGTATTGTGCTGTCTAAACTCTCATGACAAATTGTCGTTGAAACAAGTGCAAAATTAAACAGTTAAAGATAATAGCTGTATATTATGACAATTATGATGTCAAAGTAAATGAATCAACGGTTTCCGTAACTTACTAAATATAGTTTTGTCAATGAAACCAGTTTAATTTAATAAAGCAAATTCAAAATACTAATTGATATCATATTTTGATATCAGTCTAAAATATTATGATTGACGTTGATTATATTTTCTCTAAATTTCAGACCACTTTAACAGTTATTTTTTAATAATTTATACGTGAGAGAGAGATTTTCTATCTACCTTCTAGCTTAAAAAAATTATTTTCGTTCCTTGTTTCTTCGTCCCCTTTCCTCTCTCTTTCTCTCATAATTTTTATTATTTCTATTTTCTTAATTTACCACACTGCAATACAAACTTTATAACGATAATGCATCAGTCGTTCATTATCGTGCGCAGTAATAGATCGAAGAACGAAAGACAGTGTCTGGATGACATCCGTCATAGTGCAGCAGTCACCGGCGATGCGTCAGAACGTGATGAATCGGCGTAACCGAAATAATGCAACGAGATGCGCGGTCGTGTTGGACGACCATATGGACGTGCATTTGCGAGCTGTCACGTCAAGAGAAGGGCTCGACGAAACCGCCACGAGACACCTCCGTTACACAGTGTTCCGCGACATCATGTCACAACTTCGTGATCTGATTTCTGATTGCGAATCAAAAATCTTATACGAATGCAGCTAGTAACAGAATAAAACAATGACGCTTATAAAAACAAAATCATTAAAGTCAGGATTCTTTATTTATTTTTTACTGTAGAAAAATTTTTCTTTAAAATCACGAATTATCTTTGTATATTTTGCAATTATCACGATGAAATCCAAAATTGAATAAAAATTCTTCCCGAAATAAAAAATTAATATAAATTTTAATTAAAGCTGCAATAACATTTCAGACAACTATTCGAGAATGTGTGAAGAGATATTATATTGTATAACCCGTAATTACTTGAAATTAGATCCATTTTCAGAATATAACATTTTTATCTCAGGATCACTTCAGAAATCGGACTGCGAGGTTACAACGTAAGGTCGTAGGATACCGTGTATTATATAATACGACTTCGAGATATCGCTATCAGACACACCTGTCACACAGGCGACGTAGGGTTCTCAACGAGTTCCGTTTCGCCGCGAGAATTCGTATAACCTCTTCCCATTGTAACGAAATAGCAGCAGTCTGTGTCACCACTATAATACTATAACCACAAATCATTCGCGTTTTTAGACACTTTGTCAAATAGAGTTTTCCTTTCGAATATACTGTCCTGTGTAAATTGCTTTTAGATATCATCGAAATAAACTAAAATTATAAGATTGTTTCTTTTTACACTATTAAAATCTACCGCGACATCTTTAAATCTAATTATAGATTTACAATTAACGTTCATGACATCATACTTGTCTGAAAATAGCGCAAATTTAATATAAAGAATTTATAAATAACATTAATTAATATGGGCTTTAGAATTAATGCTCACATTAATGTTATTTATAAAAAACTTATTTCTTTAAATACTAAAAATTATGTATACTATTGTCAAATATAAGAAACTATAAAAATAAACTTTCATAAATAGGAGTTTTCATTGGACGATTTTTTAATTTCCATTATTAATATTATTTTTATAACAAACTGTGAGTATTCTGTTTTTCGAAAGAAAATAATTTCTCCAAAGTGCTCTGCAAAACAATTATTTGCAAGCGATTATGGTAATTCTCATTACTCACGAGAGCTATACCGAGGCATCGAATGTCATCAATTCCATCGATAGTGAAACACAATAAACGCACAGCTGCATATTACTCACCGCGTGATAATCGTTCATTGAAACGATTTGATTGCAATCTATAGAGAATAGATTTTTAGCATGAAAATCGGCCCACCATTACGCAGCAATTTCTGCAATTAATCACTGTTAATCACATTCGTTACGATTATCGCATTTCCGTCGCACAATTATAACGATGCCAAAAAATCGCTTTTTTTACGAAAATGTCGTAGCACGTTATGACGGAAACCTCTGTGATGCTTATCGTAAACTTGTATTACAGGTTACAGAGTAACACAGTTACATTCCAAAACTTAATGATAGAACTTGTAACGCATATTTCAAGTCTTTTCTTAAAAAAAAAGACACTGTATAATAATGCGTGATTGATTTTAATGTGATATTCATCACATTAAAAATTAAAAATTAAATATTTTGATAATTAAATTTCAAATTAAACGCTGCAAAAATGCAGAATGTGTTTGTATTGCAATAAATAATATCTTCTTGTTCAAATGCTTTACAAAAACTTTTATCTTTGGAGTTTAAAACTTAAAAAATTATGCCATATTTCAATTAAAGGAAAATGTACTTTAGTTTGATCAAAAAATATCTATTAAACGTTGAGGTTTCAACGATACTTTATATTAACCACATGCAGGGGAGAAAGGGGGAAGACACGCTGATGCTGCAAACACCGAACACTTTTGAGAGAATCCCACGTTTAATACACTTTGGACGACTTTTAAATCACCTGGCGGAGCCTGTCGCATAAAGCTCTTGGGCCTCGCCCCGAGCTTGCGAGGCAACTTAAGGCTTTTCCAACCCGCCTCTAATCCAGTTTTGATTATAAATCACTTAAAGCCGCCGACCCGAGACGGCGAAACGAAGTTTCCGAAGGCTGCGCCACGCCGCGTCCACGTTTACCGACTTGTCCGGCCCGGCCCGTAATTGAAGGATTTATCTAGAAAAGCGCTGCGCGTAGAGAAAAGTCGAGCATGTGGGTGGATGGGGGACAAGAGAGGAACAATTTTTTTTCTAAACTGTCCAAGAAGTTCTGTTTTAAGCACTGTTACATCTATACGATATCGATTAGTTTCAAAGCTGATAAACGTACCCGTCCATTTCGAAAGTGGCGTAAATCGAACTTCGAAACGCAACCAATTTTACGCAAAATGCGATTACAAATTAACGCGGCGTAACGGTTTTGATAGGATTACCTAAAATTGATTTATGTCCCTTCAACATAATCGGCAATTCGAGGCTCCGGCAAATCGCTACATCTTGCTGAAATATTGTCCATGCGTGCTTATATTTAGAGATCTGAGTGTCACGACACACTAGAGCGTGCGTAATTCATCGTCCGAGAAAAGAGACGAAACGAGATTTCTGGGTTGCTATAATTTATGACATTTTAAATGGCAGTAATAAATGGCACAGATATATTATTATCTAAAAATATCTATTAATATAAAATAGATATATTCCTTGTTAAAATGCAAAGAAAATATAAACATTTCCAAAATTTATTAAAACATTTAAAAACATGATACACTATATTTGAAAAATTTTTTAAAAATGTTAAAATTTAAATAAATACGTGCAAAATTTTAACATTCTAAATAAATTTATTGCATTGTTATTACAATAAATACATCGATACTTGGAAAATTGTTGATAGTTTTTAATTTTATAATAATGACAAAGTAACACGACAAAAATGTTATTTTAAGTAGATGCTAAATTTAAAGATGTTTATTAATCTGACCGAGTTACACGCGGATTTCCTAAACAAAGAAAAAGGGAAGTGTCCTCGTGAGAAAAGGCTATACAAGACCTCGTTAAATTAATTTTCATTGAAAGGGTTAACGAAGCGGCTGGCCTGTCTATGCGATTAAGCCCATCGAGATGCACTTTATTGATTATATTTCCGTCATGCCTTTCGCACAGATGCTACCCGAGCTGGCTTGCATTAACTACGACTATAATAGTGCGTCTTTTGTCCGGCCATTCGATCACAAATGGAATTATTTGCCATATAGTTCTATTTCTAAAACACTAAGTTATTTGATGTGTGTTTGATGTTGACGAGCATTTCTATAGACATTGAAAATGTATAATAACATGCAGCGCTACATTTTTTATCTCTATATTTGTTATTACTACTATTATATTATTACTTTCAATTTTGTTTTTACAGCTATTATTATATCTTATTAAACATATTTTTGTTATTTTAATAAATAATTTGCTTTATCAGAAGTCTTACTTCATTAGTCAAATAAATTTTTTTATTTATTTATCTATAATTATTTTTATCTTTTCTTCTTCATATTTATATAAATAATATACATATCAGAGATGGAGAAATTCCTCTTACATTCAAAATAAATAATTTAATTTTTGCGTCTCTATTGTATTTCTAGCTCATATGACACATATTCGATACATCAAATGACGTTGAACATTTTCCAAAAGTGGTATTGTAAGATGAAATGAATTAATGTCGGCTGAATCATCGCGAATCGCCTTACTAGGCAAGAGTTAGAGCCAATCTACACTTATCTTCGTATTATCACAATGATACACCGCGCCAAGGTTCTTCGTCCTAAATACGTCGCAGCAACATCAAATTGCAGCAAGCACGCATTACGTCGGGTTAGCAGGTGATTCATAGCGGATAACGTCGCGCCGAGATAATTGCGATCGTTATGCGCAAACAAAGCCGCGCGGCACCGTCGAGCGCGTAACGAGATGTCATATCGACTCCTAGAATCTATCGCGTGAGACTGGGGCGAGGTCCACGTCTTTGGGAGAGCAACGAAACATCGCATCCGTCGATTATCAGAATATTGATATTAAAGAGCCCGAACGTCGATATTAAGAACTATTTAAGTATCGATTAATTTATGCGTTATAATTACACGTTGATGAAGCAATTAACTTTTATCGTCTAAATTCTCTTTCTCTCTCTCTCTCTCTCTCTCTCTCTCTCTCTCTTTTTGTTAGAAAGGGACAAAGAAACAAATGAGCTGTACGGTTAATCCACCCTCAAGATATCTTTCGCCAAGCAGACCTATTAACATATGTAACATGTCATAGACGTAACTCCGACTGCGGGGAACCGCGTAGCATCAGAAGAAACGGTTGAACAAGAGGAAAAGAAGCGCTCTCTCGCACGGATATAAAAATACCTCGAGTTTCCAGGGGAACGAGTTAGAGTTCCCCTCCCGCGCTCCTATACTCGTTTCTCGCCGTCTAATTTTCTTGCGCAGAAGAACTGTGCGAAAGCTGAAGCGCAAGCTTTGGCTTCGCCAAAAAAAGACACCGGGGCACACACATATTTACAAACGCGACTCGCGCGGCCCTTATCCGGTAATCTCTTCTCCCAAAGAGAACACGCGCGCGCGGCGATGCTATCTCCCGACGAAATTGTCCGCTACAAAACTCCGTCCAGCCACCAGGCGTTATTTTGCTTACGAGTAAGAACCGTTTCCGAGGGCAAAGGCGCGATATCCGCGCGATAACTCGTGAATACGGGTGGCGGCGGCGGATTTTTCTCGGGCGAGGCTGGTGGCGAAGAGAGGACGGACCGGAGGGTAGGGTAAGCCGCAAGCCGGCCAATGTAATTTCATCCACTTTTTATTGGCGCGAAACGGACTTTAAGGCCTTAAGCCACTTAGATTTAATAGCGCGACCGCGTTATACGGTCGGCCGTACGTTCCGGCTAGGTCGACGAGAAAAGAGAAAAGAGTAAGGAAAAGATAAAGCAGGATAGGAGTGGGACAGAGACGGAGAAGGGAAGGAAACGCTTATTGGAAGATAGAAAAAAGATAATATTATAATATTGTATATTGATTATACATACGTCAACCAGAAATGAGATAACATTATATCTTAATAAGCGTCGAAACTTCAAGCAAGGGCACAAAAAGTGCGGTTTAATTAAATTTTAATAGAGAGCAGATCAATCAATCTTCTCCGGAAAGAATTCGATTATACCCGCTAAATGTGGATATTACTCTGTATTACAGGAAAACTTAATAAATTATACAATAAAGATTCAAAAACTTGATGTAATAAATAAGCTATTAAAAGTGTATTGATCAGTAGTTTCAAATTATTTAATAAAGATATATGTAAAGATCCAAAGATGGAAATGTATAAAAGTATATACAAATTAAAATTTTCAGGTAAAGTGGAGCAGCGCAGTTACTTTTTTTTTTTCAATGATAAAAAATGAAAAACATGTGTTGCGATTGAAATGCATTCATAATGTTCCGAGCGATAACTCGTCTACTCGAACACTTGTAGATCGCATACGTAAGTGATAATAATAATAAGAGAAAGAGAGGGGAAGAGGGAGAGGAGACGGAGGACATCGATTGAGAATTGCACACGCGAGATACAGAGCGGATTAAATCGTGTAATCCATTACATGCGCCGGTAAAAAGAGCAGAAGCGGAGAATAGGCTCGCGCGTACGTGGAACGGAACGGAGTGGAGCGTTCTCGCACCGAATCGCGCACCGCCTCTGCTTTTGTATTAACCCAGTTCAGTTCGCCGGGCTCTTTATTGATTCCGGTGCCGGCAAGGCGGTGTGAACGAAATCTCATTCTTAACAAGTTCAACGGCTCCGAGCCGTTGGTGAGCGTGCACTTTG